TACTGGAATACAAATATTTTGGCCTCTGGCCTGATGGGAAATTACATTTAAAAACAGTCTCTCAAAGAAAACCCTGATGGTAAACTACAACAGAAACTGTGCCTTTATTACAGTAGCAAAACCAGCTTCTCATTGGGGTACAGGGAGAGGACTGTGAAGCAGTTTCCCTCTCACTTCCTGTATCACTCAGATGCCGCCTCGACACTGAGGCCCCTAGGCTCCTTTCACTGTTCTGTCCTCACGATCATGACAGGTGAATTTTACATGAAGAAGGTGGTTGACTGCAGGCCTTTATTTATTTACAGCCTTGTCAGACAGCTGCCATCTTATACCGTATGTTTGCTGCTCTGGCACTCTGGCCACTTCTTAACCCGCTGCACTAACTGGTTGATGCTTCAGGAACAGTGTGATCTAACAAAGACTGCTTTTACTGTTTCTGCAGCTTCATAGTCTGCAATGTCAGTCAAAAAAGGAAATACACATACCTCTCTGTAACTGTGAGACTGTTCCCTATAACTGTCCTCTACAGTTCCTGGATGAGATTGATTTAATTGGGCGTGTACCTTGTTTACTGTCTATTATTCTCTGTTATTAATGACTCTGTCTGTTTCACTCATTTTGTTGTGTTTGTTTGTTTTCCTATTATCACTGTTTACCAACTAGCTCTGTATAAAGAAGGGACAATTACATGAAGCTGGTTTACATTTGCTTCAGGCAACTGTGTGACAGTCATCTTCTTACAGGGAAGCTTTAAAGGGTCCAGCTGCCTGCCAGCTAAAAAAAAGATGTTTGACAATGTCAGACTAAAACAAATACAGAGGTAATCTTGCCTTTTTCTACATTTAAGTTGCACTGCAACTTGGACTGCAAAATACATCTTTTTTTATTGTCATCATGATGTTAACTTGCGAGATAAACATATTGAAAAATTGCACTTTGAATATAGTATCAATGTATTAAATTACATTCTGTCTGTAGGTGCCTTTTTGTCTGATTCGTGCCATGCTGTTAACTCTCTGGCCAGTCAGACAGAGCCATTGCCAGTAAGTATAATCAGACAGTTGACTGATTGGGTAGATGCTTGAAAAAGTGAGCGAATGAGCGACATTACTAAATCTGCTCTACTGTCTTAGACTTTGCTCTCGTCTGTCTGTCGTTCTTTGTGCAAACAGACCACCCCACGTGAAGAGAGACACAGGCAGGCTTGTTTACTTCAATGATGAAATGACGTCAATCCTAAAACATCATAAAACATGGAAAGAACATTTAAAAACATACGACTGAGTTGTGAGAGATGACTTGTGTACTTGTGACTTGATTTATGTTGTGGTGTTTACAGGCGTTTTTTGCAGTGAAATTTTGGGGGCAAGTGAAAATTTCAAAAACGTGTGATGCTGTCTCTGACTCAAAGCCTGTAAGTATTAAGTGTCTCCTACAGAATTAGAATCTATTTCTGATGATAGAGTTGGGTAGGTGGGTGGTGCTGACAGCTGATTGCCGACATCAGCTGTTGCTGCCGTTTGGCATGGCGCTAAGCATCCCTCTGTGTGAGCTGTTCTCCTCCTGCTCTGCCTGATTTGCACAAGCTAACACAGCAACAGTGGCAAACATCCGACACTGAGCTGTTAAACATAACCAACAATCTCACACTGTCACCGAAATAGCTCGACTCTGTCATTAAATCTGTTGAGTAATGTTATCCAAGTGTTGCTAACAGTTAGCCCTAATATTGTGTATGGGTGCCATTCCCAGTAATTGCCATTTATCTCCATGAGTGATTGCAGCTATTTAGCAACAGTGTAGTGTTTAGTAATAAATCAGGACAGGTACCATCAAAGCAGTATTTTGCAGACATCTATCTGCACCTAACACCACAGTTACACTGTAACAGGTAAACTCCGTTGGTGGAAACTAGAAACACTGTGGTGTTGTAAGGAAATGACAAATATTCATATAGGTAATGGGTGAAGTGACCTAAATTTATCTACTTATACCTAGAAGTATCACATTTTGAAATCTGATCTTGCTTGAACACTGCTGAACACACACTTTCTCCTTTGAACATGATTCATCTGCATCAAAACCACAAGTATCCGTTTGTCTCATTCATACAGAAGTGGAGAGAGAGGGGATGTGGAAAGAGGAAGTGTGCAGGCGTCTGAGCTCAGAGGCTTACCAAGGCGATGCAGTCCGAAAGTGAACCTCCTGGTGGGTGGCTTGGTGGAGAGCCAGAGAGCCAGTAGGGAAAACAAAATGCCCACCACGTCTGTTAGCATGTGCACAGCATCGGTCATAATGGCTAAGCTGTTTGATATGTAACCACCTGAAAGTAAAAGACAAGGTGAACAATAACAATGACATCTGCTGAGATCTATCTGAGATTTCTGTGCAAGCACAGATTTTGAGATATAAGTTTTGTTGGGTGCTGGCTCCATGCAGATGTACATCGACAGCAAAGCACATGATTAGATTTCTTGGTATGTTGTAAACTTAAAAAAGCCGCAGGTATATTCAAAGGTTTTTCTTTTTTTTGTGATAATTTGCTCTGTAAATAATTGAATTTTGAAAACAGGGACAAAAACACAGCATACGATCTTATGTGACCCTGAGAAAATGAAATCTAATTTAAAAAGTGGAACTGTCGCACGCTACAATAAAGACGCTAAGGCTCAGTCACCACTTTTTGTTTTATAGAAAACACAGACTCATAACGAAAGCAAAAGCCCTCTATCTCATGTAGCACTCTTATGTTTGGGCCATGGTTTTATTTTTGGTGTAATAATTTTCAACCAAAAAAATGTATCCAAACATTAGTAAAAGACGTTAGCACTTTATAAAGATAAATCAATAATTTAAGAGATTTTTTAGCACAAGCAAGTCAGCAGGACGGGCTTTAAGAGGTTGAAATGGCGATTTGATGTGTATAATCAATCACAGCGGCCTCTGGCTGCTTTCCAACCAGACAGACAGAAACTGCAGCAACTATGTGATAGCTGTGAGATACAGGTGATGGACCTGATAATACGAACACCTGCACAGCCCCTGATTCAAGTCTATAAAACAGCCCTGAACCAAATACTACAAAGCTTACTCTTTTTGAAACTGCATTCAATGGGTTAGGATTCAACTGAGGAGAAAATGTGTTAATGTGCATGGATGGATAACTGAACAGACCTACAAGGCACAGGTTCAAGGGCCCCCACTACACTTCACCTAAAATATGTCACTGGAATTAGCATGAAACAACAAGAAAGAGGCACGAAAAGACCACAAGAGATGTGAAGGAACTACAGAGAGACACAAAATTACTACAAAAGGGGCAAAACAACCAAAAGAGACACAAAATGATGACAAAAAAAGAGGCAAAATCACCACAAAGTGTCTGCATGTGTTTCTAGTCCTATGTAGGAGAGGTGTGAGGCCTTTTACATGTCTATGCCACTCATTTTAATGTGCATTATATCACCTGGGCTAAATTCAGCCAAAAGTACATCAGAAATATTTTCTCGTCTCTAGAGATCGTTAGGCATGCAGATAGTCTTGGGTTGTACACCCAGGTTTGGAGATATCTGTCTCTAACGTTCCTCCTTCCACCAATAGAGGTGAACAAAGTACACTCAAAAACAATAGCTACACTCATTAAAAATACAAAATCCCTGTGTGAAACAGCAACTCTGCTCCGTTCTCCTAAAAGTTAATGTTTTATGAGTTAGCGGTCTTTATTTCAGGCTAGATGGCCCACTTACACAATAAAACATTGCTGGAAACCCACTTTTCGGGGGCATGAGAGTTCATTTTCTAAACTCACTTAACTGTTGATAAGTGAAAGGAACCAACAATGCCTCACTCTGTTTGTTTATTGTAAGATATTGCATCACTACGTTGTTTTTATTGGCCTTGTATAAACACATCTTCAAAGTCAGTTTGTCCTCCACCTCTCTGTGAAATGGTGCTCATAAAGTCTCCTGTGATATCAAGCAGTAATAAAATAATCAGGTAGCGTGGGGTTCACTCTGCACATGCTTACCTATAATTTCACCTATCATGAAAAGAAAATAGAGCAAAGCTGCAATGATCAGCCTCTTCATCACTCTCTTGTGCTTGATCATCTCCCTCTTCTTGGCGCAGTTGTCACAGGGGTCCATGTTCAACCCCGGGCTGCCCAGGCTGGAAGAGGAGTCAAGCAGGGAGTCATCATCATCCGCCACCACCAGCGTGTTCACCGCCACCCCGTTGGACGGAGCTCCGGCGGAGTAGTCCGACATCTCCCCGGACACCACCACCTTCAGCTTGTTAAATCTGGGGGTGTCATCGTCCACCAGCTCGTCGGAGAAGTCAAAGGGCGCCGTGTCGCTCAGGTCCCAGTCGCTCCGCTCCCTCCTGAAGGCGGACCGCACCTTGCCCAATAGGTTCCCACCTGACATCTTTAATAATTATGTGAGCTCCGTGTGTAGGTTAGTGTCCTCCGAAGTAATCATTCACATCGTTGTGGGTTGAAATACTTCATTTCTACTTCATTTTAGCAGCTGGAGGAGACAAAGAAACGAAAGTGACACCAGAGATCCCAGTTACACGCCAGGATAACTCAGCAATTTCATCAACCCAAGATGCCAGCGGTTATTCAACTCAAGCTGGTGACTTAATGCGTTAAAGGCACATCATTGACTTGCTCACATTCCCCACATGAGCTGATAAACTTTGGGTCCTCTTGAAAAAAAAGCCTTGGGCTAAACAGTGACAAGCTAGCTAGTAAAGGTTAGCTATCTTGTCATTTCAGCTCGCGACACACAGACAACCCTCGTAATGTGGTAGTTTGTTAAGAAATATGAGCCGAACTTACCTTATAGTGTTACTTCACCGCTGTACTAACTTATTTTGTCAGTGGATTAAAAACTGTCATGGTAATACTGGTGTAAACATCAGAGCCGTAAGACTATCTCCGCACTCGGAAGCAACACTAGCAAGTTTGGTTACGCCCGCAGTCACGTGATGACGTGAGCGTCACATGACGTTTTTTTTTCCTAGACGCAGCAACAAATCCAAAATCTTTCCCTGCTGTGTCCTCTGCTTTTGGTCGAAATAACTCAACTCTTCACACCTCTAATTGCTGTTGAATAGAGAGTCAAACAGGTAAGATGTTACAGAGTGAAGTGAAGTGTTTACATGGTGTCTGGGTGCTAATGTGTCACGTTGAACACATTACGAAGCAGCTCAGTGAGCTAGCTAAAATACTTCCTCAGCAGTCAGATGCTGTGATGTCGTGATAAATAACTAATGGCTGATAATTTCCGTCTGACAAAAATCTGTCTGGTTTCTTGGTGAATGCTTTTTTAGGCTATTTAAAGCAGTCTGGGTCAACAGAGTCGTTGCACATGGAGGTAGAAGAGATGGAGGATGAAGGACCTTCGCTCCAGAGTGAACCTCCAAGCAGTGAAGGTGTGTGTGTTTAACCTGCTCTCTGCTGTGTACACCTGTTTGGCCTGCAATGACCAGGCTGCATGAACATCAGTATAGATTACCTGAATCCAGCTCATGCATCCTCATTCACTTGTAAGTGACCACCACTAACTTGTGGGTGGTGTAAGGGAGTGTTCTTCACTTGTCAGAGGAGGAGGGTGGCGAGGGTGTGACTTTCTTTAAGGTCCAGTACCCATACTACCATACTAAATAGTATGCCAGAACAAGATTTAGTATGTCCTAATACATAGTATGTCAAATGCAGTATGCCAAAAATACCAGGATGTTCTACTACATCCAGTCCAAGTTTGCTGTATGCAAGCCAGCATGCTTTTCTGGCTATTCTGACCCACAATCCTCTGCGTTGTGGACAAGACATAACATCCACTGAGCCACAAACAGATGACAGCTGATTGACAGTTGTCAGAAGTCCCAATGATGGATGACAGCACATTCATGTTACTGATGACCAGTAGTAATAACAGGAATCATGATTGTTTAAGTAAACAAAAAAACAGCAGAGCTCTCTGGGTTAATCTCCGTCTCTGGTGAACTCAGTAAGCAGCATTTGTTTTATCTCCATGGTAACAGATATAAAAGCAAGAGGATCAAAATTCAGGGTGTAATGTTATGAGGAAGTAGTATGTCTCGATTGTGTGCATACTGCATGCAACAGCACATACTTTTTAAGGTTATCTGCAGTACCCACTAAAAGTAAAAAGAAAAAGTATGTGATTCAGAGTGCACGCTTAATTTTTTATAATTTATATTTTTTTTTATATCTTGACTCTCACTTTTCTCCCCTAAGCTACAATTGCTTTTCCTTGAGCCCCACTGAGTGATGGGGGAAATTGCATTACCCTCCCTCCACCATAAATAACCATATTTTTCTTATTCATTGATTCACTCCTTTTCCGTAATAGCTTTTTCTGTTAGGGGTCGCAGAGGGGCTGGAGCCTATCCCAGCTGACATTGGGTGAGAGGCAGGGTACACCCTGGACAGGTCACCAGACTATCACATGGCTGACACATAGAGACAGACAACCATTCATGCTCACATTCACACCTACGGCCAATTTAGGGTCACCAGTTAACCTGCATGTCTTTGGACTGTGGGAGGAAGTCGGAGTACCCGGGGAAAACCCACACTGACACAAGGAGAACATGAAAATGCTGCACAAAAGTGCTCCCCCACTCTGGGATTCAAACCAGGAACCCTCTATGAGGCAACAATGCTAACCACTGCACCACCGTGCTGCCATATACACTGAACAAAAATATAAACGCAACACTTTTGTTTTTGCTCCCATTTTTCATGAGCTGAACTCAAAGATCTAAAACATTTTCTATATACACAAAAGACCATTTCCCTCAAATATTGTTCACAAATCTGTCTAAATCTGTGTTAGTGAGCACTTCTCCTTTGCCGAGATAATCCATCCCACCTCACAGGTGTGGCATATCAAGATGCTGATTAGACAGCATGAATATTGCACAGGTGTGCCTTAGGCTGGCCACAATAAAAGGCCACTCTGAAATGTTCAGTTTTATCACACAGTACAATGCCACAGATGTTGCAAGTTTTGAGGGAGCGTGCAACTGGCATGCTGACTGCAGGAATGTCCACCAGAGCTGTTGCCCATGAATTGAATGTTCATTTCTCTACCATAAGCCGTCTCCAAAGGCCTTTCAGACAATTTGGCAGTACATCCAACCGGCCTCACAACCGCAAACCACGTGTAACCACACCAGCCCAGGACCTCCACATCCAGCATGTACACCTCCAAGATCGTCTGAGACCAGCCACCCGGACAGCTGCTGCAACAATCGGTTTGCATAACCAAAGAATTTCTGCACAAACTGTCAGAAACTGTCTCAGGGAAGCTCATCTGCATGCTCGTCGTCCTCATCGGGGTCTCGACCTGACTGCAGTTCGTCGTTGTAACTGACTTGAGTGGGCAAATGCTCACATTTGATAGCGTCTGGCACGTTGGAGAGGTGTTCTCTTCATGGATGAATCCCGGTTTTCACTGTTCAGGGCAGATGGCAGACAGCGTGTGTGGCATTGCGTGTAGCATCTTGATATGCCACACCTGTGAGGTGGGATGGATTATCTCGGCAAAGGAGAAGTGCTCACTAACACAGATTTTAGACAGATTTGTGAACAATATTTGTGGGAAATGGTCTTTTGTGTGTATAGAAAATGTTTTAGATCTTTGAGTTCAGCTCATGAAAAATGGGAGCAAAAACAAAAGTGTTGCATTTATATTTTTGTTCAGTATATTTTATACAACAGTGGCAGTAGCTTCCAGAATAATATCAGTAACTCGGCACAGCAGATGTCATTGGATTTTGAAAACTTACCCTTTGGTGTTTGAAAGTTGAAAATGAAATCCTGGAGTTGAAAAAAGCTTTGGTTTTTCACTGTTGTCATATATGTGGTAGCACAGAATTTAATGTTTTTGGTGAAGTTTTAAGTGAGAATTTTTATCACTAGTTTACTAGTTTCACTTAGATTTACTGACGGAAGCGTCATTGTGCATGATGTGTTCAGCTACCTTCAGAAATTGAAAAAGAAACAACGATAATTTCTGTGTTTACAGTTTCTGGCTGTGATAAGTGGTGTAATTCTGGAGACTTTTAAAGACAACATGCCTTTTAAACCCACCAGTGGGTTTTGGGATTCAGAGGATATTTAAAATAAACATAAAATACAACCATTTAAAGTTGTATGCCACTTCCCTGAGCCAAAAAACCCCACAAGTCTTTCCCCAGTGCTTATAAAACTATTTGACATGCCTCCCATGTTTTGTAGCACCACCTACCCCTTCATAAGTAACAAACAGTCCCTAAGGAAGGGACGGTGAGTATCAAAACAATGTTAACAATTAAAGGTTAGACATGCAGTTTATTTATGTATCTATTTAACCTTTTGTACAGAGCAGGTTGGCACTACGTTCCAATCTGAGTGACAGTGTGACATCCTGGCCGTTAGTCTCTTTAGTCTCAACAATGGATCCTGCACTTCCGATAATGCAAGTCAAAGGCATCTTTGTTTGTGCCGTGTTCATGTGATATTCGGTATCGTAATTACCAGTTCCTGACTTGCAAATAGTGTTCATGTCAATGTCCAAGTCATGATTATGACTCAGAATTTTCTTCTGATATATTCAGCTTGGTGCATAATAAGACAGAAGTGCCTGACAAACCAACCAAACATGTTTCCCTCACATTAGCCAAACTCTGTTTCTCGAGGTAATTAAACCCAAATTTCATCGATACAGTGTTACATTGTCAATCCAGTTTTTTAAACCCTTACTCAACCAACTCTGCAATCATATCAAGTCGTCTAATGACATAAACACCCACAAGTTGTAAACATGGGATTTTTTTTTCTTATCTTTACCATCTTTCCTGTATGACAAGAAAGCCGCAGTATACTCTCCCTGACGTATTAACACCTACATTATAACCTTCACACCTCCAGTTTGTCAGGCAGACTTTTAGTTAAAGTTAGTTTAAGCCCAGATGGAGATTACCTTTAAGATTTCATCAGGGTTATTTTCACAGAATTTATTAAAAAAAAAAAAGTCACATAGGAACTTACGCAACTGTTTGCCCAGGCTGAGTGGTACCATGATGAGTAGACTCACCTTTATGAGTAAAATCCACTCATACCGTGAAACAAACAACAGGAACAGATGGAGTCATTAATAAAATAGAATACTAGACAGTAAAAAAGGTACAGGTGTAGTCACAGACAAGCAGAGGATGGTTATTGTGAACAGCCATGGAATTATAAAGAGGTATAAATGTTTTGATTTTAGGTGACATTGCAGAATATTTTAGGAGGTCACTGCATTATCAGCACAAGCAGTCAATCTTATGTAACTCAGGGGACGGATTTCTTGAAGCAGTGGTTAAAGCTAGTATTTCAGAGCAGCAACTGTGAGATACAAGATTAGATGAGCAATTTTCCACAGTACTATTGCAGACAGTTCATCACTGTGCAGAACCCAACAGATTAGTTTAAGTGTGTTCATGAACAAATTGCACAACAAAATGTCTGTCTATTCCTATCACATGTTACAATTGGTTCATGCATAGAATGGTCTCTTAATGCTCTGCACATTTTTTGTTAAATATTTGACAGATCTCCAGTTGTCACAGCAGGAATCACTGCTTCTGGAGAGCTCAGTCCCTGTAGAGAACGCGTTTGTGGATCAGAAAGCAGTGGAAAAACTCACAGAGGGATTACTCTCTCACTACCTACCAGATCTACAGAACTCTAAACGAGCCCTCCAAGAGCTCACGTGAGTATTTCCTTACTTGGGGTTTCATTACATCCAACACTCGATGGATATTGCAGTATTTCTCAGTGCCTTGTCATCAGTATAATGTCACCACACAATCTTAATCAGCACTTTTTTCTTCGGCAGATGGCATAAACTATAGAAGTGGTAGGGAAATAGAAAAGATCAGTAAAGGGAAGGGAAATATGTGCCATGATACAGCCAGTTTATGGTGGTTATATTCCAAAGGATTTCTTCCAACAGGTTCAAACTGCACTGATTTGTTCGGTCCGCTGGTGAATAAGCCCCTGCAGGATTTGAGTTTTTGCCTCTGTGGAAAACTCCATGGGATTAAGGAGTTATATAAACCAAAAACCATGCCGCGCTAAAGGAATCTGACTAAACTTATAATAGGCTTTGGAGCCATGCAAACTTACCTGTAAATTACCTCTTGATTTGCCGTTTGAATATTAGTTTAGTGTAGTCTATTAGCTTGTTTAACAAGGGCCATGCACAACATAACTGATGAGCCTGAGTTAGTGATTTAGGTTTTGCACCTGTGGCCCCCTGGCAGGAAAATTAAAAAGACAATACAGACAGAACAATATAGGCAATTAAAAGCAAAACAATGTGCAAGCAAAACAGATCTTACATATAGTACATCACGTATAAAACATCATACAAAATACACATCATATAGTCTTGGCAAACAGTCGATTCCTGACAAAGGTTTAGATCAGTGATCACATGATTGGTTTGTCTTGAGACATGTTTCAAGTGTTCTTTGAAAATACTGAAATTTCTGCATTTTCTGATATGTGTAAGAACTGAGCTCCATATATCTGCCTCTGTGACTGAAAGTGCTGATTCTCCAAAAGCAGTTTTTCTAAATTTAGCTGAGCAGTCACCTCTGGCTGATGCCCTGTTCTTCCTAGCATTGTCCCTGCAGAATGACACAAATAGATTTAAGTGGTGGTGGTGGTGGTGGTGGTGGTGGTGGCGCAAGACCATGAATTAACTCATATATTAGTCACATATCTGCAAAAGAAAGAAAGCTGTCAAAGATCAGTAAGTTATATTTTTGAATGATGGTACAATGATGATAGCTTCTTGTTGTCACACCTGCCTGGGACCAGCTTGTAGCACATTGAGATGACTGCAAGAAAGTCATTGAGTGCATAAAGACCTCAGCGAATAGAGGCAGTTAGTGTTTAGTATGTCTAAAATTAATTAGATTAGCTCTGACACTGACAAAGTGCATAAGCCAGTTTGGACAGATGGGTTTTGGGATGGGATTTGAAGGATGTTATGCTGTTGGACTGTCGAATGTGTGGAGGTAGGGAGTTCCAGAGCCTGGGGGCAGTGCAGCTGAAAGCCCTGGCACCCATGGTGCTGAGGCGTGAGGTGGGAATGGTCAGGAGACCAGCAGAAGAAGAGTGCAGGGAGCGGGAGAGGGCGCACTCCTGGAGGAAGTCAGAGAGACAGGTGGGGGCTAGGTTGTGGAGCGCTTTGAAGGTGAGCGTTGGGTTTTTGTAATTAATCTGTTACTGAACAGAGACCCAGTGTAGTTGTAAACTCATTAAGCCTGTTAATGAGTTTGGTGTGAGGGTCAGGGAGTACTGCATTACAATAGTCAATACGAGATGTGGCAAAGGCATGGACCAAGACATCACTGCTGGACTGGGACAGTAATGGGCAGAGTCTGGAAATGTTGCGGAGGTGGAAGAATGCAGCCCGGGTAATATTTTTTATGTATGGTTTGAATGAAAGAGTGCTTTCAAGAATGACACGGCTCTTGACGTGGCTGGAGAAAGGTTATGCAGTGATGATGTGTGGGACGTGGGTGCTGACTAGAAAGTGAGCAGTGATAAACTATTCTTTAAAAAAAAATCTTCCATTACAAACTTCTGTTTTGTGGTATGTGAACGATAAGTTGATAAGAAGATAAGTGAAATGTCTCTAAAAACGAGCTGTCTTTGCCTGCACAGCAGTCAGTTGTGTAGTTCAGATACATTGATATACACAGACACTGGTATGCAGTAGTCAAATGGGAGGCACTGGAAGGACTGGATGGATGGGTTGACCAGCTGCTTTAATGCTGGTGGTGCTGAGTATCTTAACTTATCAACATGCTGGTGTTCACTTGTATGTATCAAGTCATAACAAACAACCTGAACTGTATTTTACAAACTCTGTGAAATACTTCTTAACATCCTGTCGTAATTATTAGCATATATTCATTTTTTTTATTACCCATTGACTTGATGAAAAAAAAAACGCACTTGATTTCTTCCTCTTCATTTTTGTCTCAACCAGACAAAATCAGCTGGTCCTGTTAGACACACTGGACCAGGAAGTCAACAAGTTCAGAGATTGTAATGCCTTACTGGACCTCAATTCACTGGTATGTTTGAACTGAATTATAATCTCATTTTTACACACTTATTGTTGCCTGTATTATGTACACCAGCCCACAAGAATGATTTCTAACTCAATTTACTGTCTTTAGTTTACAGAGGCGAAGGTTTACCACAGCAAACTAGTGAACATAAGGAAAGAGATGATTATGCTCCATGAGAAGACAACTAAATTAAAGGTACTGCTCTTTAACACAAGTGTTGTCAAAGCATTTGTATAAGTGACGTTATGCTCAAAGTTCAGTAGCAAATATTGATGGATGGATGCTTGAATAAAAGGATAAAGGGAAATTGCTGTATTTTTTAACTGGAACTATTTTCCATATTTTTGTGTCCAAGTGGCTAATAGAGACAACATTTTTTTTTTTTTTTACATTGGTTCAGTATTTAGAGAAAACGCTGCAGCAGTGAAACAGGTTGCAGTGTAATCTGTACAGACAATTGTGCACCATCAGTTTATATCCACTAAAAGTGCTTGTTTTTGCCACTGACAGGCTCAGATTTTTATTATAAGTGTCTGTCAACTTCACAGAAAAGACCCTACAGAGAAATTAAATGTTTTTCTTTACTTTTCATTGATGAAGTGTTTTTTTAATTGTGTGTAACCAAGACACGCTCAAGAAGAAGTCCACCCATCCATCCATTTTCAGCCGCTTATCCGATGTCGGGCCGCATAGATCCTAGCATTCCAGACGTCCCTCTCCCCAGCAACGCTTTCCAGTTCCTCCTGGGGGATCCCGAGGCTTTCCCAGGCTAGATGAGATATGTAATCCCTCCAGCGTGTTCTGGGTCTGCCCCGGGGCCTCCTACCAGTGGGACGTACCCGGAACACCTCTAAGGAGAGACGCCCAGGGGGCATCCTGATCAGATGCCCAAACCACCTCAACTGACCCCTTTTGACGCGAAGGAGCAGTGGCTCTAGTCCGAGCTCCGTCTGGATGTCCGAGCTCCTCACCCTATCTCTAAGGCTGAGCCCAGCCACCCTTCTGAGGAAGCTCATTTTGGCTGCTTGTATCCGTGACCTCATTCCTTCAGTCATTACCCGGATCGAGAAGGGAAGGAGAAGTCTTGTTCTGACTTTCCCATATTGTCAAAATTAGCTAAATATTCAGCCATGACACTGAAAATCTTTTAGATAACACTAAGGTACACTTTCTGCACTCCAGCAACCTCTTGCCAACACTCCTATCTCCAACTCCAAGTCACTTTTATTGAGATTTCAAAACAAGCCCTCTCCTTGAGCAAGACTTGGTCACAATAACAAACAAACCAGCAAAATATAATGAAAAATATGTGTCATTTCTCTTTCTCCATAGGGTCTTTTCCATAATGTTGTCAGACACTTAAAGTAAGAATCTGAGCCTGTCAGTGGCAAAACAAGCACTTTTAATGGCTGTAAATTACAGCCGTCTCGCTCAGTACTGGACCGATTTCTTTCTCCATTAGTCTCTTTGACATAAAAACGTGGGAAAATAATGTCCAGGTTGAAAAAATATAGACGTTTCCCTTTAAACAAAGCCTACACTGATCAAATGTTGACTTTTGTTCTCTCTCAGAAAAGAGCTCTGAAGCTGCAGCAGCAGAAGCAGAAGGAGGCGCTGGAGAAGGAGCAGCAACGTGAGAAGGAGCTGGAGAGGGAGAGGCAGCTTATTGCCAAACCTGCGAAAAGAACTTAGGATCATCCCCAAGTATGTCTGCTGTATTAATGGACCATACAGGTGCTTTTTGCATGCCTTAGCCTATTTATTATTTGTCAGCTATATGTTGCATTACTGCGGACCGTTTTCCAAAGCTAAAGTATTTTAGATGTGTTTTTTTAAAGATGATTTTTGGGGCATTTGGGACAGTGTGTACCATCTCAAGCTGCTTTCATGTCTCAGTATTTTATTTTATGTACAGACTATTTCAATTGGAGGTGTTAGAAATCAACTTGAGTCTAGGTTCACCTGTTGGCTACTGAAATACTTTAAAAAAGTTTTAGGGGGCAGCTTCTGCAAAGAAATGGTATGAAGTTGTTAAAATAGGACTGAGATTGACTCTCAACATTTGGTTCATCCTAGTCTCCAGCAGTATTACAGAATAGACTGTAAACTCCTGTAATTATCATTCTGTGTTTCTGGCAGAACATGCTTGACTTTAGGGACGTGAGTTGTGTAAAGTAAAGTGTAAAACCATGTTTAGTGAAAGAAATAGATTAACAAAAATCCATTAAGAAAATTTTTAAGACTAATACAAGGAGAGTTATATGCTTTGGGAAATGGTTCACTTTATAGACAGTATGTGTGACTCTGAGTAAATGGGCTAAAACGTGCAAAAGGTCAGGTATGATCCTTTATGTTGGACATTGCCAAGATCACCACAAACCAAAGACATGGACTAAATCAAATGCTGGTACTTCCCACTATCAACCTCTGGTGACAAACACAAACTCGAGCACTTCCCCGAGAGTGGAAGAAATCACTCAAAGACACTTTTGCAGCCATCAGACAATGACCGGGAGGAGAATCAGTGCATTTGTTGTCTTTTCTTGAAGAAAAAGTGTTGATATACTGTATGTCGTTGCGGGGCTTCATGCCTCATTAGTGTTGAATGTTATAAAACAGGTATGTTGTTTAAAATCAAATAGGTCTGCACTAAACTTAACTGACTGTATTTGTGGGGTCCAGATGATGTGAGGATGGATGATAATATTTACCAAACTCTGCCCCCATCATACACAGCATGTGTACATTTGTTTAACAGACCTTTCAAGAGGCTTCTATGCACTACTTAACGCCTGGAACTCCACTGTTTGTACAATTAATAATTAAAGCTACAAAAGCTGGTTTGTTGTAAAGTGACTTACATTTTTAATCTTTCTGGTTTCAGTATCTTCTTAGCTGGGCACTACAGCCCTGGTTCCTGACCCCCACTAGGAGTCGCCAAAGCTCCACCGTGGGGTGGTAAGGCCTTCTTTTTAAGGGGTGTGAGAAACTTTTTTAGACCATGTAAAGTCAGCTTATGTCAGTATCTCTGTGGGGAAGAAATTAAATTATTATTTCTAAAGTTTAGGTTTTTATTAAAGAATAAACTTTGAAAAATTGTAAATGGATAGCGACACGGTGAAGAACTGAACACAAGTTGTAACTACAGAGCCTTCACTCTCTGCTCAACAGCCTCATCCTGCATCAGAAAAATACACAGTTTTAACAACCAAAGAGCCAGTAGAACAATGACTAAATGTCAGGGAGAAGAAAACACTGAATTTGAACACTGAAAACTCATCTCTAATGCAGTATTCACAGGAAATGATTTACTCAAAATTCAGCCGCATTGCCTCCTGCGGTTATGGTGTTTTCTATTATTTTGTACAGTTTATCAGTTGTTCTATGCTGTTATTGTTATACATTTATTATAATATGAAATATCCATAGTAGATGTCACTTTGTCAGGGGTCATCAGTTTACCCAATGATAGAAAAGAGCTCCCCTAGAGCACTATGTAGGATTTAGGGAGATTTAGTGACATCGGGATTGCAGACTGCCATCAGCTGAAACTTCTCCTGGTTAGAGTTCCTTCAGTGCTGGTTGTTCAGGCAATTTTTACTAGGAGGGGTAATGTCTCCATATCTAGAACATGGTGTAAACTTCCTCTTTTCAGCCTCGTGTGCTTGATTGATACTATAAACTGTAGTAAGTATCTCAGTCCAGCAGGTGTCAGCAGAGACCAGACTTTATTTCACCAGAGTTCAAGCTGTGATGATAAAATGTGCTCTGTGGAGTTTCTGCAGGTTTTGGCTTCAGCATTTCTGCACCACCTGGTGTTACTGATTAGCACAGAGGAAGATCTTTTCAGTGAGTTCATCCAGTGTAATCTTAAGTTAAAATAAAATCCTGCAGAGTCTTTGTCTTTAATGTATCGCACACAGTTTAACATCTAGGCTGTAAACTTGTTTCTGATCACCTGATCAGCTTGGATGCCAGATGAATGTAGTTAACTGCAATTTTATAAAAAAGAAGAGAGCACCAGGACTGATGCTGATTTACTGGCTCCAGTTGGTTCCCAATACAGCCTCAGTTTTCTCCCATAAACCTCAAATTGTCACTGAATTGGTAAACACTGGATGTTTTCAACCAACATTGTCTCTTTTCACGCACACTTTATCCACTATTATCATGTACCAGCCGTACAAACAGACATTTGTTGACAGAAAAGTAGGTTACATTCCTCTCCATCCCACCACAACCATGTGTCTGTCCTACCCCCCTCCTATTCACATAAACTCTAATTTTATACTTACTACTACAGCAGGAAACTCAGTCAAAACCAACATGGCTCGGTCCACCCCCGCCCAGTCCTTCTTGGAGCAGAAACTGCACCACAGTGTGGCCATGGAGGGGTCCAGGCTCAGGGAGAGGGGCAACTCGATTCCAGCTGATGAAAGTGAGGCAGTGCAGTGGAAACCACACTTTGAATATAGTTTTCAGTACCTTGACTTTGGGTTTGTTTGACATTTTTTCTGTGTATATCTAAATACAGTGGCTCCATATACAAATGCCTTTGCGACCTGATTGCTGTTGTTTTTCTTCATTTTTCTGAAACTGGGTCAGTGTGATGCCAAGACCAAAAAGGAAAGACGTTTTGCTCAACTCTGTCACATATCGAAGTCGGTCAAGGGTTCGTTGGAGGCAAAAATATGCCTATAAACAAAAAGAGAGATCTTGCAGGTGTAATAATATTGAATCAGTTATTAATGATCTTTTTTTTTTACTTTAAGAGGCAGGTCACATCTAAATTAAAAATATGGATTTGTTCCTCGTAGCTCTATTTATCAGTCTAAATAGTTTTGGTGTTAGTTGCTGAGCTTTGGAAATATCAGCCGTAGAGATGTCTGCCTTTTCTCCAGTATAATATACAGTCAGGTCCATAATTATTTGGACAATGATACAGTTGTCATCATTTTGGCTCTGTACACCACCACAATGGGTTTTAAATGAAACAATGAATACCTGCTTAAAGTGCAGACTCTCAGCTTTCATTTTTCAAAAATGTAGTATGAACCGTGTAGGAATTACAACCATTTCTTCACACAGTCCCCCAACTTTAAGGGCTCATAAGTATTTGGACAAACTAACATAATCATCAATTAAACAGTCAGTTTTAATACTTGGTTGCAAATCCTTTACAGTCAATGACTGTCTGAAGTGTTGGACACATAGGCATCATCAGATACTGGGTTTCTTCCCTGGTGATGCTCTACCAGCCCTTTACTGCAGCCGTCTGCACTTCCTGCTTGTGTTTTGGGTGTTTTGCCCTCAGTTTTGGCTTCAGCAAGAGAAACGCATGCTCAATTGGATTCAGGTCAGATGATATGACTTGGCCATTGCAGAACATTCCACTTCTTTGCCTTAAAAATGTCTTTGGTTGCTTTTGCAATATGCTTCAGGTCAATGTCCATCTGCACTGTGAAGCATCGTACAATGAGTTTTGAAGCATTTGGTTGAATCTGAACAGATAATGGTGCCCCAAACACTTCAGCTTTCATCCTGCTGCTCTTGTAAGCAAGACAAGACTTCACTAGAATAAATACAGAGGGTTTATCACAAGATGCAAACCATTGGTTAGCCTTAAAAATGGAAGGCCAGATTAGAGTTTGTCAAAAACCATCTAAAAAGCCTGTACAGTTGTGGAACAGCATACTATGGACAGATAAAACAAAGATCAACTACCAGAATGATGGGAAGACAAGAGAAGGAAGAAGGGAAGGAACTGCTCATGATCCAAAGCACACCACCTCATCAGTGAAGCATGGTGGAGGTACTGTTATGTCATGGCCATGTATGGCTGCCAGTGGAACTGGTTCTCTTGTATTTATTGATGATGTGACTGCTGAGAAGAGCAGCAGGATGAAAGCTGAAGTGTTTGGGGCTACATTATCTGCTCAGATTCAACCAAATGCTTCAAAACTCATTGGACGATGCTTCACAGTGCAGTTGGACAATGACCTGAAGCATATTGCAAAAGCAACCAAAGACATTTTTAAGGCAAAGAAGTGGAATGTTCTGCAATGGTCAAGTCATATCATCTGACCTGAATCCAATTGAGCATGCGTTTCTCTTGCTGAAGCCAAAACTGAGGACAAAACACCCAAAACACAAGCAGGAAGTGCAGACGGCTGCAGTAAAGGGCTGACAGAGCATCACCAGGGAAGAAACCCAGCATCTGATGATGCCTATGTGTCCAACACTTCAGGCAGTCATTGACTGTAAAGGATTTGCAACCAAGTATTAAAACTGACTGTTTAATTGATGATTATGTTAATTTGTCCAAATACTTATGAGCCCTTAAAGTCGGGGGACTGTGTGAAGAAATGGTTGTCATTCCTACACGGTTCATACTACATTTTTGAAAAAAGCCTTAAATGAAAGCTGAGAGTCTGCACTTTAAGCAGGTATTCATTGTTTCATTTAAAACCCATTGTGGTGGTGTACAGAGCCAAAATGATGACAACTGTATCATTGTCCAAATAATTATGGACCTGACTGTAGCTAGATGGCACTCGGTTTGTGATGTTCAAAGCGTCAAGAAATACTTTTGAAAAACTCAACAGCAATGTCTCTTTCCAAAAATCATGACCCAGTTATACAAGATAATCCACAGACCTTGTTGTGAGCAGTTTCATGTAGGGACTCTTTTCTTTCTACTGAACTACACCAGCTTATCGTATCCCTGCGCAGAAGGAAGCGTGCATCTACTGCTAGCTCACCTAGCAGTGCTGAGCTAGCTAACATAACAGCTCAGCCAAGGAGGACGCCATTAATGTTTACATCTCACTCTGTCATGAGCACAAGCGTCTCGTCCTAACCGGTCTCACTCCGAAGTCATCGAAATCTGGCACTTGGGCAGTGACTTGCGGTGTCAAACACTGACGACAAAAGCCATCCTCTAATGTTGCCGTGATCTGCGGCGGGTTGCCGTTATAGTTTAATGGCAATCTGTGGTGTCAGAGGGAAACACAGCGGGACAAGAATGAAAGTTAAGGCAGTGAAAGTCTAAGTAGGGTAGGTGGGTCCCACAAACACTGACTTTCAACAGGGGGAACGGTGTTCACGTCCAGTAAGATTATAAAGCCAAACCCAGTTCTTTTTTCCTAAACCCAATCATGTGTTTTGTTGTTGAAGGAAAAAAACGCCTTATTTTCCTGTGAAAACGGAAGTGTATTTTGAAAGAAGACAATGCATGTTACAGGTAGAACTTGACACAGTGTCCCAGAACCACAACAACCAACCCACTCATGGACCTTTCACATCGTTGTGATGTGGAAGGTCCATGACCAAATGTTGATATATGACAAAATCGGAGTGAAATGTGTTAGTCCATGAGTAGACGCACACTTCCTTCGGCACAGTGATACAGTTGGCAGTTCGGTAGGAAGAAAATAGGTCCTACATGAAACTGCTCACAACAAGGTCTGTGGATTATCTTGAGTAACTGGGTCATGATTTCTGGAAAGAGACATTGCTGTTTTACAAATGTATTTTTTTGGCGCTTTGAGCACTACAAGCTGAGTGACATCTAGTTCCATTATATTGAAGAGAAGGCAGACATTTCCAAACACTCGGCAATTCACACCAAGCCAATGTAGACTGATAAAAAAGCACTACAGGTAAGAGGAAAAATATGTATTTTTGATTTTGGGCTGAACTGTGCCTTCAATAAAGCACTTTTTATGTGTTTTATTTCCCAGAAACGAGCACGAAACAAGAAGACCCCATTTTTTTTAACACTTTATTTTTTATTGCTGTTACAAAAGGTTAGAAAAAGATGGACAAAAAAGAATACAAA